ATTTATTGCTTGAATTGGGGTGCTATAGTTAGGCAAAATTTGCATCAGACTGTTTATATTGCTAACAGAGGTGATGATTCAGGATATACTCTTTTTGAATGGGGACTGATGCTGCTGAAGCAGTAGAGACTCTTCCTTCCTTCAAGGTATAGATGTTTCAGTGAAAGTCTCTTTGTTATGACCCTCTTGTGATTGTTTCTTTATGTGTGGTCATGTTATATTGTGATAGTAGCATTTTGACTTTTACTGACTACTTAATGTATCATGAGGAGCGGTAGTTTATGCCAATTACATTTTTATGTTACCCACGAGTAACCATGTCTTGAACAGATGTACAAGTTAATTATTTAAAATCACATCATTTATCACGTAGGTAAAGCTATTCTTGCACTTCAGATAAGATTTTGCTGGAGAAAACTAAAAATTAAAAGAGAATGCTTCATCTACAATGCTGTTTGGGTGATTCTAGTTGATTGAATCCAAGAAAAGGAAATATAGACTATTGAGAGATACTTGCTATATCTCATTCAGTGTCGTAGAACTGAAAATAGAAAGCTGTATCCTTGCTTTCTTTCTAAATTCTTTTGAGAAAAAATAAAAAGATGGCAGAAGGTTTGCCTGTCAAATTCTAACGGGATCATAGTCAATGATGTTTTAGTTCAAATCTAGTTCTTGGACAGATGTTTTCAATAATTTATTTCAGTTACCTAGATCAGATTCATGAATTATGTCAATTGCAGGTGCATTGTGCAATGTGCACAGAACTTATGAAGTTAGTGGACAGAATCATAGAGATATTTCCAGATCTAGAAGCAGCTCGACCTCGGTGTTCCTTGGGGATACAGTCACTATGCTCGCTTAACAGTGCCCTTGAGAAAGCAAAGCTTCTCCTTCAGCACTGTAGAGAGTCTAGTAAACTCTATCTGGTGTGTTCTCTTACGTAATTAATTAAGTTTCTTTAGTGATTAACACTGCGTAGGCTCCAGAGACCATATCAAGTTGCTATTTCCAAGATCGTTCATGTCGTGAACCGATTATTATTGCATGGATGATTGTTGGCATGAAATATCTTTTCAAGGAAAGAACTGTTTTTTAAGTTTATTTATTGCAGTGTACCTTTTAACATATGATGTATGGAGTGATTTCCTGTTTCCATTACAGTTGATTTCAATTTTTTCTTCTCTTTGGACATTTTATTGCTATATGGAATCTGATAAAACGTGCAGTCCGTTATTATTAATTTTACTGTTTGTCAAAATAACCTCCTTATGGTCTATAGATATACCTGTTCATTTGTAGTTGATAGCTTTCCTATTGCTTTCAGGCCATAACAGGGGATGTGATAGTCTCACGATGTCGGAGATCAAGGAACTTATTGGAAGACAGTCTAAGACAAATTCAAAATATGGTCCCAGTGATGTTGGCTTTTGAGGTTTGTCAAACCATAAATCCTTTTATCCTTTCACTGTTCTCATTCTACTTCACGCTCCCCTCCAATATATCCCCAGTTACGCTGGCTTTCCTAGGTTTGTCAAATCCTCCCTCTTCCCAGGATGGACTGCTAACAACGTATACATATTGTTTTCTTGTACATTTAATCTCAACCTTCCATTTTTCTTTGTTCTGTTTCCCTGTTTTTAGCCACCCAGCATAATTAGTGCTACCTTTTTGTGCTGTTATTCCATAGTTTGCACTATCAACACTTTGGATTTTTGAGTTTTTTCATCCCCTTAGGGTGTTGATGTGACATTTTTTGTTTGGTTATTGCCCGCATCCAAAGATTGGATGTATTTGTAGTAGACTGAAACAGATCTTTCCCTGTTCGCCTGCTTTCAGTCCAATTATAACTAAAACTTCCCTTTACAGTCTTTTGATCTGTTTGTCGATAATAAGCATGTTCTTGAGAAACTGTAAATCCTGTTAATGCTGGGTACATTGAGTGGCAATATTGGATTCTTTGTGATTGGGATACTTTTTATGTAAAAACAAGGTTGGGATTGACATTAAGTGCGCAAGTTATCTTTTCCTATACAATTTTTGTCAGTTTCTCCAATTCTCCTCTTTTTCCAAGTCTTTGCAGCATTCACATGAAATCTTATTTGCAGATTTCTCATATTATTGATGATCTTGGGGCTGCAATATTTGTCCTGGATTCATCCGAAGAGGAGGCTGGGAAAGTTGTGCGGGAATTGATTCAGAAAGATACTTCTGCATCAGATTCAATTAAATATTCTGAAATTGGAGCTCTTAAATTTGCAGCATCAAGGCTTCAAATTACGACCCCAAAGGCAATCTTAATAGAGAAAAGATCTATAAGGAAGCTGCTGGATAAAGTAGGTGATAGTGATCCAGTGAGAAAGAAGATCCTGCGATACCTTCTGCATCTGTTGAAGATGCATGGAAACTTAATCATTGGAGAGAAAACTGAGAATTCTTTCTTTCAGCATGAAGAACCAATTGCATTTAGGAGCTCCAGTAAGGATTCTGTTGAAATGGAATCTCGTAGAGGAGATGGACAATGTAATTATCAGCTTGATGAATTAAGTAAAGCTATACCTCCTGAGGAATTTATGTGTCCTATATCTTTGAAATTAATGTGTGATCCTGTTGTCATTGCTTCTGGGCAAACATTTGATAGGATGTCGATAAAGAGGTGGTTTGATGAAGGTAATGTTATATGTCCAAAAACTAAAATGAAACTGGTCCATCTATCAATGACCCCTAATACAGCAATGAAGGATCTAATATCAAAATGGTGTTTCAAGTACAGAATAGCTATTGATAACCCAAGTATGCAACCAGAAGCCTTTCACTCGCTGGAAAATTCTTCCTCTTCCATTGCTAGTTTTGGGAGTTCCATGAATGATCTCAGGCTTCCAGTGGATAACAGCAACATCTCAGTTGGATCTCTAGATACCAGTTGTTCAGAGATCTCAGAAGCTTATGTTACAAACACGTCAAGCGACATAACTTCTGTCTGTCTGTCTAGACTGGCTGATTTTTGCTGGGAATCGCAATGCAAAGTGGTAAAAGACCTCATAAGTCACATGAAATATGATGATCAAGCTTTTCATTATATGTCTGCTGAGGATTTTGTTGAGCCACTGATTAAGTTTTTGGAGAATGCACATGATCGATGTGATGTAGAATCTGGGAAAACTGGATTGCAGTTACTACTGGAAATTGTGAACAAAAACAGGTAAAATATTTTGTGTTCACTATTGCCAGTGACACTGGCGCATATATTATAGAAATTTTATATGAACTTGGCAGTTATTTGGTTGACCTGATTTTCTGTCATTTTTTGGTGTATATTAATGCTAGTTGTCGTCATGCAGAATGTGGATGGAATACTTGCCAGAAGATGCATTTAGCCTATTGACATTGTTTCTTCATTCAGAATTAATGGAAGAGGCTCTTGATGTGATGGAAGTGTTGTCTGCCCTCCCATATTGTCAATCTAAAATTGTTTCATCTGGTGCTCATGCTTCCATTATAGAAATCCTTGATTCCCAGATGAGAGGTCTCCAAGAACAGGCCACTAAGATATTGCAAAACCTGTCCTCAACGAGTGATATTTGTTCCCAGTTGATCTCTTTGGGATGCATCCCTAAGTTGGTTCCTTTCTTACTTGATAGCACTCTTGCAAGACATAGCATAAGCATATTGAGAAACTTGAGCAATTTAGAAGAGGGCAGGGTGTCTATTATTGAAACTGATGGATGTCTCACATCTATTGCTGAACTGCTTGGAAGTGGCAGCAATGAGGAACAAGAACATGCAGTGGCTGTTCTCCTTTCATTGTGCTCTCAGCGGGTTCAATATTGTCAGTTGGTCATGGATGAGGGTATCATCCCTGCTCTAGTTCTTACATCTGTTAATGGAAGTGAGAAAGGGAAGGTGACTGCATTAGAATTGCTCCGGTTACTAAGAGATATCAGATACATTAATGAAGAAAAAAGCTTTGGATCTGATTGTTCTGTTGTTGAAGATGCTACTAACCTCTTTGTGAAAAAGAAGTCATCTTCTAAGGCATTGAGGTTTTTGAGGACAAAGTTTTCCGTTTTCTCCAAAACCAGTTCTCAGAGAAGTGAAGGCAAATCTTCAGATGGCTCCTATTGCAGTGAATCTGTCTGGTAAGGTTTGTAGTCTCCCCAGAACTGGCTCCTCTTTTAGCTGCCATGCAGTATATATTAGATAGATGTAGTTAGATTTTGATTCGTTTTTACTCTAATTCCCTGATGTAGCTACTCATAAATTTGATTACTTCGTAAAATGTATCTCCTGCAATTTACTGGCTGTATATATATATATACTCAGACACGAATGTACAGTTATAATAGAGGAAGTACTCGGGCTTGAGTTTTTTCCCCTATTCCCTATCATCCCCCACCAAAGAGCCCCCAGAAATTCTTCAATGCTAAGCTGCTTAGGATTTAGACATTCACTTGGCGGGTTCAATTTCTACAGAGCGTTTTTTAGGAACTGCAGTAGTATATCGTAAGTGTCACAACTAGTTCAGTGTCCTTCAAACGTCCTTATAACTTCTCTTGAGTCTATATTAGGAGGTAGTAACATTTTGTAAGCGCTACATAATATTGCATATTACTCATCAAATAACTCTCTGGTGTTAAGTGACTGCTACACAAAACTATATATATATATTTTTCTATTAGTGCTGGTAAATTCATAAGTGAGTTTATGAATTTATTCTTTATTCAATCAGAGATGAAAGAAGATAACTCGTTCGCATACATTTATGAAGAAAAAAAAAATTCGGTTGCCATTGTTATTGTTCAGTAGGCAGATATAGGGTTGGCGGGGAACACTAGAGCCAATCAGTTGGTAAAGGAGTGAGTTTTCGAGGCCAAAGCCTCTGAAGACACTCCCATATGAGTGGGTGCAGATACTCCCAATACTTCCAACTCAATGTTTCCTACCACACCGTCATTTATTCTCATGCCCATTCTTCTAAAACTAACTTATGTTTATCAATTATCAATATGCATACACATATATATATATATATATGTATGCATGTATACACATCTATGTTTCATCAATTGAGGCTATTCTCTTATCAAATCTAATGCCATTTTGTCCCATTTGAACTTGAATTTTTATCTCCACTTTGGTGCATATGTATATATATATATATATATATATATATATATATCCAACAAGTGGATCATAAGTAATTTAGATTATCAAATCTTCCTTGGTTAGCTAGATATTCACTTTGTTTTATCCAGCCATATTGGAGAAATTGTTAGTTAAAACGTTTTATCCGTTATGACTATCCAAAGTTAAAAAAATCTATTTATCCTGAAATATTTTATTCTTTACAAATTATTAATAATAATTTTTTCAATAATAATCGTCATATTTCAGATAATTCAGTGTTATATTTTATTATTTGAATCTAATTGATTAGTAGTAACTAATGAACATTCTTAATTTTTTCTTATCTTCCTGTCTTGTCTTATTATTCTCATTACCAAATCTAATGAAAGTATTCGAATTTTTTAGATACGTAAAATTAATTACTGTTTGAATGTTGTTTTTATTTATATTTCTGAGTTCTAGATTCTTCAATATCTTGAAAAGCTCAACAGTAACTCAAGTTACGATATAAAATTGTCTTCAAGCAAATTTGAGTACCACCAAATCTATTCCATGAAGTTCAAAGATTTCCTTTTAGCAGAATTTGAACACTAAATATATATGTCTGTGTTTTTTTTTTTTTTTTTTTTTTTCTTTCCCGGTTATCATGACAATTGTGATCATAAAGAAATTTGGGGTATGAGATGAGAAATGAAGGGAGAGTGATAGGATTTGCTCGGGGCTGTCTAAACTTGGCACTTACTGTCGGTGGGTCAGCCATACATACATATAATCCATTTAAGTAGCGATACATATATTCCTCAACATGGAGAACTAAGTGTCTCTTGGTACTCGTGCCTTCATATTTTTTTTCTTTTATAATATTCAGCCTCCCAAACGTTCCCCATAAAAAAGAATTTGTATTCCAGCTCATTCAGGAAGTACATATCGTAGCAGTGATGGTAGTTCACACTAATCATCTTCCTCGTGAAAATTGAATAAGCCATTGACAAGTTTTAGGGTGCAAATAAATCTCATTTTTGATCTAGTCTTGGCGGTAGGCACTGGTTTTATTTTGGAGTGAATATGATTATTTCTGTCATGGGTTAATATGAATTTGGCTAATTGCAGTTTTTATATGTCATACTAAAAATTATAGAATGTATTTCCTAGATACTTAATACGCCAAGTATCAGTTAGCTGGAGTAGCTCAGTTGGTTAGAGCGTGTGGCTGTTAACCACAAGGTCGAAGGTTCAAGCCCTTCCTCTAGCGGGGTTAGGCATTATTTATTGTAACTTATTTTTCCAATAAGCTATTTAAGAACGTTTTGATTTTTTTTTTTTAAAAAAAATTTATTAAATTTCTAAGAGTTCTTTCTATTGTACCTTATTTTTTCACTAACAATAGTTTCATAAATTTTTTGGCAACTTTTTAAATTTTTTTGACATGTTTAATAAATAACTAAAACCTTATGACCTTGCTTCATAATTTTTATTTTAAACAACTTATAAATTCTCTAAAAACTACATGACTAAAGAAAATATAAAATTATAGCTTATATCCACTAAAAAAGCTCATTAAGCAAATAGTTAAAGAACTAACTTATAAGTCATATTTTTAAAAAATATTTTAAATCATATAAATTCTTACAACAATTTATTCTTATTTAAAATTATCATTATTTTTTTATTAATAGAGTGAAGTAAATTTTTAATAAATTAAATCAGATTCAATCGTAAATAAAATTTTAAAAGAATTTATGTTAGGTTAACACAAATTTAAGATTAGATTCAATCAATTTTATTTGACATAAATATTTAATTAATTTTTTAATATTTAAAATAAGTTTAATATATAATTTTAGATTTATAAATATTTTTTATTAAATTAAAACGAGATTATATGTAAAATTTATATTTGACTAAGATTAGTCAATATAAAATAAAATTTAATAGACTAATTTGACATACTAATTTTAGAAAATCAAAATTTAACACGATTAATATAACTATTAGATCATATTACTTGTGTTGTGTAAAATTTACCTTATATCAAGTTAGATATAATGATAATTTAAACTTAAGTTTAAATATAAATAAAATATTTTAAAGAATAATTTCGAAAAGAATTAACACTTTTATATACTAGGAGTATTTTTAATATTTTAATTAACTTATAAAGATTTTCATTTTCCAATCATATCCTATTTTTCTTGATACATACATACATACATACATATATATATATTGGTAATGTTTTTTCATTGATTTGATGGTTAATTATCAAAGGTTGAGCCCACTAATAACCCATTATTCTCACCTTTTGTCACCATCAAGTGACCAACCCAACCCTCAATCTTCTTTAGCCTCTCTCCTTCGTTATTTCCTCGGCAAACCTCCAAACTCCACAAAACCTAACCCCTTCAAAACCCTCTAAACCCCCGTTCCGTTCAACCCCCTTCTCCTCTCCGTTTCCCGTTCAACGGACACATTCACATGGCAGTTATGTCACTTGGGGACCATTTGCCCACCACATTCCTTTTGGCTCTCCCTCTATTAATTATCTCTTCCAAGATTGGATCTTCATGGTTATCTCAAACTCGCCATTGAAGCTCTCTAAGATCACCACACTCATCATCTCAAACCTCCGTAGTTACTAGCTTCACCCATTTAACCCTTTCTTTGCTTCTTCTTCTTCTTCTTCTTCTTCCTCTTTCAAATCCCACTTCAAGCAGAGCTTAGTTTTGACAAGATGTTGCAGGGTTTAATCTCGCCGGAGAGCTTCGCCGGAAATGGTGCGGTTGACCTGATGGTGCAAGAAAGGTTGAAGTGGCAGCGGCAACAACAACCGCAGCCGGCGACTGATGTTGTGGGTTCTCAACTGAGTTCGATTGAATTCTCCTCTGCGCCTCAGTTTCATGGTTTGCTCGAGAATGTCGCTGGCGGGAGACTGTTTGTTCAGCCGAAAAGACAGGAAGCTTTTCTGGGTAGTTATGAGTTGCCGAAATTCGGCAAGTTTTCAGTGGTGGGAACGGATTTGGTTGGTGGCAGGGTGGATTTTCCGGCGTCTGATTGCCGTGTAGAGGCAGCAGACATGGCGATGGTGATGAAGAAAGAGGAAGAGAAAGTTGAAGGCGAAGCTTTTGGCTCAACTGAGGAACAGAAGTTTAACAAGAGAAAAACAGAGGTGCCTGATCTCACTTTACCACTAATTGCTCTGTTTGTTTGTTTGTTTTTTTTTTTTTTTAACAAAAAAAAAAGGACTCTGTTTTTCAAGAATTGATTATATAAGAAAATTTCATAATTTTACATTATTAATTTCTAAATTCATGCAAATTTTAATGGATTAAATAATGTACAACTGTTAATAAAAGATTTAATCAATTCTTTATATCCTAATAACAGTAAATTTTAGCACAAGGACTTAATCATGGTAATCTCAATTGGGTATGGTAATTATTATCTCTTTGGTGAATTTCAGGTATATATTTCATTTCATGTTTATTTTATTTTGTGCTTACAGGGTGTTGGAAGAGAGGAATATAAAGAGAAAAGAATTAAAACAGAGGTGGAAACAGAGTCCAGCTTCAAAGCTAAAAGCAGTACAGACACAGAAACTTCAAAGCAAAATTCCACAACTTCCCAGGCTCAGAAACCAGACTACATTCATGTCCGGGCTCGTCGTGGCCAGGCCACGGACAGCCATAGCTTAGCCGAAAGAGTAAGTTAACGAAAACTCTCAATTTCAATTAACTCGAGTGTATCAGAAATCTTGTAAAAAGTAACAGTAATCGCGATACATATAATAGTGAGAAACCTAAATTTAGAGGTACCGTGCTATTGTGAAAAGTGGACATGTTATAACAAATACTTCTGTTTCATGGTGTGCAGGCTAGAAGAGAAAAGATCAGCAAGAAGATGAAATGCCTGCAAGATTTAGTTCCTGGCTGCAATCGAATCACCGGAAAAGCTGGAATGCTTGACGAAATCATCAACTATGTTCAGTCTCTTCAAAGACAAGTTGAGGTAACACAAAAAACTTCCATTACTCATTACATATATGTCGTTTCGATTGTTCATTTGATTACTTTTTGAGTATCGAAACCTAAAAAGTTGGAGTTCCATCTCTCTGTCTTATTATTTCAGTTCTTGTCTATGAAACTTGCTGCTTTAAACCCAAGTGTCGAGTTCAATCCATCGCAACAATGCACCGCGAATTGTATGCTAGATGTATCGATGGATTTCATTTCTGCTCAAACACCACCTCTCGAGAGCACGAGCTCTTCGGTTTCTCTTCTGAAATTATGTCCTGATTCTTTAAGCAAAATCTGTGTAATTATTCTTTCTCAACTTTCAGAGTTTATATTTCAATTCGTATAACTTCATTATAGAATCTAACGTGATTAAATGGTTACATAATTTATATTGCAGCAAGCTCAGTCCTTTTCCACTTGGGATAATATTGATGCACAAGCCCTTCTCAATTTGTACAATTTTGGTTTTAACTGAAGATGACGTCTCTAATATTCACAGGTAACTTTCCTTCTTCTTGTAACTGAGGGCTAATTATTTGTACCCTTTTTTTCTCCACCTTAAAATGATAAACGTAGTTCGATGTATCGAGAAGAAAAAAAAAATTCTATTCACATCCGACAATAAAAGTTTTACAGACTGTTTAACTTCAACTTATAACACGATACGGAAAAGCTAATTGAGAGTTAAAAAGTATTAAATTATGAAATAAAAGAATTTATCATTTATTTTTGCAGGAATCGATGACTTCGGACTCTGTCACGAGCAACAACGTGATCTTGCCGGAACCGGAACCAAACTTGTACGGGGGAATTAATTTCTAGGGCTTTCGAGGGATCTACTGATAAAACGATAGAAACATATTGTACATAGAATGGAAAATTCTAAAGATTTCAGGGCAAGATTGTTCGTAAGAGACAGAGTCATGTTCTATAGCTTTCAAACTGTAACGGTACTAGAGTAGGTACTTATTGTGTATGTATATATATATGTGTGTGTGTATATGTATATGAGTTGTATAGAAGAAAAAAGATAGAGGATGAGGACCACACCATTAAGATGATGAAAATAACGTTTGTAAGAGAAGAAGAAGAAAGGAGAAAGAAAAGACGAAGGTGGTGATGTCCTCTCTCTCTTCCTCAATTATTTCTATTTTGATTTTTCAATTTTTAATTATTATTCCATCTTAAATTAATTTTTCATTTTAATTTAAACTTAATTCATTTTTAGTCTTCACATATATATATATATTTTTTTATACACATATATAAATTTTAAATTTAAGATATATTTTTATGCACCTTGGTAAAAATACCCATCTTATATTAATTAAACTTATGAGTTATAAACAAGTTAAAAAATAATTTTAATTTGTATAAGGTCAATAAATATGTTGCTCTTACAAGACATGCAAATATATAATAATATTTTGTTTTATTTTTTACTATAAATATTTATATTGTTATCAACAATTAATTTAACAAAAATATATATAATTATTATGCAAAAATTTGTTATAATTGTTGAATATGGTTATATTTTTGTAATTTGATTTAAAATATAATATAATATTCTTGTTTAAAAAAAAAAGAAATTAGTAAAGTAATTTAATTATTTTTTATTTTTCCGAAAAAGAAATTAGTAAATCACTTGGCCTGGTATCGGTAAAGCTTCTTTCTTTTTATCGAGAAAAAGAGAGCGAAAATCTTTATGGAAGGAAAAACGCTCAAATCAAATATAGGGTTTTGTTCTGCATAATGTAACAGAGGTTTTAGGGTTCAGATTCGAATTAGGGCATTTTAATCTTGTCTCGCTGTTTCGAGATAATCTCAGAGAGAGATAAATGGCGACGGAGTCATCCGAATCAGAAGAGGAAGGGAAAATCAGAGGAGGAAATGAGACGCTGATTGTGGATGACAATCTGAGAGAGATGGGGAAGAAAGCTGCCTGGAGTGTTAGCTCTTGCAAGCCCGGCAATGGCGTCTCCTCTCTCCGTGATGACAATCTCGATACCTATTGGCAGTTACTCCAAAAACCCACCACTTGATCTCTATACTCAGCTCTCTCTCTCTCTCTCTCCCGCTCTCTAAAATCCCGAATTTTGTTTTCTGTTTTCAATTCCAGATCAGATGGTGCGCAGCCGCATTTAGTTAATATCCAGTTCCAGAAGAAAGTTAAGCTACAAGTTCGGTATTATGGATTCTTTCGCCTTTGAAGTAATCATTTTCGGCTGTTATGTTTATTGTGGATGAAAATTTGGGCTTTTTTTGTTTGGTTGAAGTTAGTTGTCCTATATGTTGATTTCAAGCTTGATGAGAGCTATACTCCAAGTAAGATCTCCATTCGAGCTGGCGATGGCTTCCACAACATGAAGGTATGTAACTTGGCTTTGAGTTCTGAGAGTAGATATCATTGGTAGCAAATTCTGATGTTTTCTGCAATTGGAATAGACATCATTGGAGCTGATGTTTTCTGAGATGTCTGTGTGTTTCTGACTTCTGATATTCTTATCATTTTTTTCCTGTTGAAGTCAATTTGAGTAATGTACATGGCTCTGCTTTTTTTGCCAATGATTTCAGGAGATCAAAGCTGTGGAGCTTGTGAAGCCAACAGGTTGGGTTTATATATCCTTGTCTGGAAATGATCCTAGGTATGAGCTAAGACATTATCTCAGTGCATTGCTGTTTTCCATTTTCTTTCAAATATTTGTTAATTCATCTTCCATTCTGGTACTTTTCATTGGATTTGTTCTATGATTGGTAGAAGAATCAATAGATGCGTAAAAATATAAAAGTTATGCTATTTTTTAGTAGTTGGTCCAAGCTACACATATTTTCGACTTGGAAAAGTTTGTGTGCCTCCCTTTATGAATTTAGAGCATCAAGTTGTGTGCTTGGTTTGCATGTTTCATATTGGAGTCCCAAAATGTTCTCATAGAAGTTCAGTACTCAATTACCAAGGTGTCTTGGCTTGTTTGGTATTCTTGGCCTCTGCTAAGGTGGGAGCAATGGTTCAACTCCTTGAGGGCTTTGTGCACCTTTCAATCGGTTCTTGAAAAAGAAAGAATCCACGGTTCAATCATGTCTTCTTTTTCCTTTTTTTTTTTTGGGGGGACTGGAGAGGGGGAAGGGCAAGGGATTAACTAATACTATAATCTTGGTGGTGGCTGGAAATGCAAAATCCTATATGAAATCTCAAACAGATTTCCTGTTTAACATTGTCTATAGTTTATGGTTTTTATAATGATCAGTCAAGAACTTTGGTTTTTCCTTTTGAGATTGTCCATTGCATATTGATTGTGGGGTTAACTACTAGTAATACTATTGGTGGTTGCAACTGAAAATGCAAACTCCTATATAATATTTGAACAATATTTTCCAATTGACTGTCTTTTGCATTGTCTATGCTAAGAATAATCGATCAATAAAGACTTTGGTTTTCTTTTTCCTAATGTCCTTGCTATGATAACCAATATGATTATATTGTTTGATATACCCAAAATACATGGCACATATTTAGACATTGATGACAAGGAATGTGTAAGTTAATGGCTAAAGTTACTCCTGGAAATGGATTAATCTGTGACTAAAATGAGATCTTTAGGTTGCCTATTTGTTTTTTTCGTTTTTTCTTATTGAGAAGAAAGATAATTCATCAAAAGGCCCCTTCCTCCTGGCTGTTTGGGTGTTTCTTAGTAACAGAGAAACTAGCACTTCGCTTGAGAAGTGTTTGATTGGCTGTTAAGACATTTTTTTCTCCTTAAATTGTCTGATACCTTGTGTTTCTATCTGCTTTCCAACTAATATCTAACCTAGAGTTTCCTCAGGGAAACTTTTGTCACACCTTTATGTTGCAAATTGCTGTCTTATCAATCACCTTAATGGGAGGGATACTCATGTGCGCCAAATCAAAGTTTATGGACCAAGACCGTGAGCTCCCTACATTATTTGCTTTCAATAATGGACATTTTACCCTTAACTCCTTATTTATTTTCTTTTTTCTTGCCAATTTTAAATTGCTTAGTAGCTTTTCTAATTAAAAAAAATGACTAATGACAGGAATCCAATCCCACATCAACAGTTTCAATTTACATCGAGGGAATTCATTACTTACTCATCCATAAGATGAGGCAATGAGAAAACAAAGTGGGAGAAAGGTAAGTATGTCATAGCTTCCCAAACTGGCGGGGTCCGAGGATATTTGATGAGAACAACCAGATGATGGAAGTGCCGGATAAATATGTGGTAAAACAACGGTATAGGCATATATATATATATATGTATATGTATGTTAATATCTTTGTCGAGTCGTGATGTAAAACATATCTGATGTATTTGGTGTTGCACCTTTGATACTAAATATCTTGAATGAATTCACTTATAAAAGTCCTTTAACTTTGTTAGTATTATGGTCCTTTTTCATGTATATTCAGCTGATCTGAGAATTGGTTGTCTAAGTAAGATATCCTACTTCGTTTATTAACAGTCCAATGAATCAGCAAAATCACAATGACTGAATTGTCAAAGGAGATTTTTTTCAAAAAAAAAAAAAAGAAGTGAAAAAACCAAATCTAAAAGGTGAAATTGTAATTTCTCCTTTCACTTTTTTAATGCTTTGCTTCAGAGGAATGATGGTAAATCACATGTAGAAACAGTTAACCTAAGGTGGATTGATGATCCAGATAAGATTTTTGGAATGTCGAGAGGATTTCCTACGAGATACGAAAGGCTAAATAAAACACAGCAATATGAGATGCAATTCATCAGGAAGTAAGAAGGTACTGTCAGTGATGTTGCAGAAGACAAAGGAGTTTCCCTTAAGTTTCAGGCTAGTTAGAAATTCAGTTATCTCAACTAACATCGCTGCAACTACATAAAATTAACTCAACTTTTTCCTTCAAACTTCATTTCAATAGCCAAAATGATGCAATAACATAGAAGTCATACCCCGTCATCGGAGGAACTACTGAATGCACAGTTAAGACTTGGCTCTAAATGGTTTTTCACGAAGTTGCTACGGTGTAGAACATATAAATACTTTCAGAATCAGAAGGAAGCTTCGAGGAAGGTGATTATATCAAAGGTCAGCCAAATTGTTATCATTCACAGGCTGGTTTGGTGTCAAAGCTGCTGAGGCAGATTGCAAATGCTTGGAAGGCAGAGAGAGGATATCGATAATCCATCGTGAAGATGTCTTTCCCAACTTTTCCAAACTGTAAGATTACCCTCTCTTGCTCTTCAGCTGGAACATTTAGTGATGGACCAATTTCTGCTACAAGCTGGAAATTCTTCACTGAAGCCACTGTAACCCTTCCCTTGAAATTAAGACACCAACACTGTAACTGCTCATGCCATCGAGGTGCCTTGTTCTTGAGAACCAGTGGTTGTGATAAGTATGAAGCTACCACTGGCGTCTCTGCACTACTTGGGCATCCACTTTCTATGGCGGGTTCCTTTCCTTTTGACGCAGGTGAGAGAGATAACTGCTCATCTAAGGACTGCGGGAATGAGGCTGGTGTTGGAGCAGTACCACCCTCCTCAATAGAAGAGACCGGAATAGACTCCATTATGCAATGCATTCTTCTTGGTCCTCTAGTTCGGAGAACATTGAGCTCATACGAAATGGTGCT